CGGCTACTTTGGTCACCATCGGCCACCAGGACATTTCAACGGCTAAAGGAACGCTACACCTCCACGCCCATTCTTCACCATCCTGACCCTGAAGTACAGTTCTTTATGGAGGTGGACGCATTCAACACAGGCATCGGAGCCATACTCTCTCAGCGTCAGGGTAATCCTCCCAAACTCTTTCTCTGTGCCTTCTACTCTCGGAAACTCAACTCAGCGGAACAGAACTATGATGTGGGAGATCGGGAACTTCTAGCCATGAAGGCAGCTTTGGAGGAATGGCGTCACTGGTTGGAGGGGGCCAAACTTCCCTTTGATGTTCTGACTGATCACCGCAACCTCAAGTACCTCAGATCGGCCAAACGACTCAATCCACGGCAGGCAAGATGGTCCCTATATTTCACACGTTTCAATTTCAAGGTAACCTATCGTCCTAGCTCAAAGAATTCTAAGGCAGATCCTCTCTCCAGGCAGTTCGAAGCAGCTCAGATCCCTCCTTCCAAGGAACCCATAATCCCCTCTAACCTCATTCTCGCTCCTGTTCAATGGGACATTATGACAGAGATTGCAGAGGCCCAGATCAGTGAACCCCCTCCGCCAGAATGTCCCCCCGATCGTACCTATGTTCCCACTAGCCTTCGTCATCGTGTGATGCAATGGGTCCATAACTCCCCCAGCGCAGATCACCCCGGAATTACAGCCACCGTTCAACTCATCTACAACCGGTTCTGGTGGTCCACTCTCCAGGTGGATACCATTAATTTTGTTCGTCAGTGTACCATTTGTGACATCTCCAAATCTTCCCATCAGCGCCCAGCAGGTCTTCTTCAGCCACTTCCTGTTCCCCAACGGCCATGGTCACACATAGCTATAGACTTTGTCACTGATCTCCCCAGCTCAAGGAACTATACCACCATCCTAACGGTCATTGATCGTTTCTCGAAGGCATGTCGCCTCATACCCCTAAGTAAACTCCCCACAGTCTTTGAAACAGCAGAGGTACTCTTCGAACAGGTACGGACTCCCATTGTCTCGGACCGTGGTCCTCAGTTCACTTCCCGAGTCTGGTCCGCGTTCTGCCAACAGCCAACACTTAACGTCAGTCTCACCTCTGGATACCACCCACAGTCTAATGGCCAGGTCGAGAGATTAAACCAAGAGCTGACCCGCTTTCTGCGTGCCTATTGCCATCAGAATCAGAGCGACTGGAGTCGCTTTCTCCTGTGGGCAGAATA